GGGCAGGGGGAGAGCCGGGGGGGACCAGAGTGAAGGGCTTGATGAGACGGGCAGAGTCCTGGGGAATCGTAATGCTGAGTTAGATTGGGCCCAAATTAAGAAAAAAAAAGAAAAATGGGAATTGTAGATTTTAGGGAAGAAGGAGTGAGACCTTAAGCAGGGTTGGGTTTTAGAGCACTAGCTCTGGAGTCAGCCGAATGGACGTGGAGACAGGGAGATACATCACGGAAAATGGCAAGGCCGCCCGGACGTCTAGTCGGCTTTACATAATGATATTTGGGGAAGAAATAGTTTAAAGTGTATGGAATTACTTATACCGCATCTTGCTAAGGCTTATGAAATATTTAAACGAGTCCTGTGAGATTGTTCATGTAACATCTATGAGCAGGTAAAAAAGGGGCAGAGGCGAGCCATTCGGGGGGTCTTGGCCGGGCACTGGTGTAGAGAGGGCAGAGCACCTAGAGGCTTAGGGTGGCAGAACCCGCGGGACCTGACAGCTGATGAGACGCGATGGCGGGGGCGGGGGGCGGGGCGCCGCAGCAAGGATGGGAGAGCGGGAGAGGGCCACGTGCTCAAGGGTGACTCTTCCATTTCTAGCTTTGACAAGTGGGTGGAGAGCTCATCTACCATTCAGTTGGTAGAAATGGAGGATGAAGAACAGGCCTGAGGCACCTGGTCCATGGCCGACCTCTGCGTCATGCCTAACCATCTGTAAACACTGGTTCTGGATGACCCTCAGCCATCAAGGAGGCAGCTTACTATACCAGAGGCGGTCAGCCCAGCGGTGAACAGTGGGGTCTTTAGAGCCCCATTACCTGGGTTGAATCCCAGATCCGTTACTTTTTACCCATGTGACTTCGAGGAACATGATGTGTATACCCGTCACTCAGCCGAATGAACGACACGTCTCAAATACTGTTGCAGCTCCTGCAATTCTCCTGATCCATCATCCTTTCTCCCGTCTAGAAATAACCACTGGTTCGAACTTGGTTGCACCATCCTCAGGCATGTCTCTAGATTTATCTCCATTTTATGTATTCCTAAACGATCGCTACTGTTTTGCGCATGGCTTCCTATTGTTAAAATGCCCCCTGCCCCTGCCCCAGAAGGTTGGCCATGGCTGAGGGACTGATTTCATGGGCTCCTGTGGGGTGGCAGACGCAGGGCTCACCTGGGAGGTGTGAGGGAGGACGGGGGAAGCATCGTTTTGTCTAATGGGGCTCAGAAACGGACTTTATTTCCAGCCCCTTCCACTAGTTCTTCTCCCCAGTAACAGAGTCGACAGCAATTTTTAAACTCTGCCCTTGGTCTCCAGGTGATCTGGGCAGGTGGCCCATGAAGCAAACTGTTGTCCGTCTGGTCCACACCCGTTGCCTACCCCTTTCTCCCTCGCTTGCCTCCACCATGGAGGCCTGACAGCTAAATCCTTGCCTCCCCAGGCTGGCCACCTGACACACATAGCAGCAATGGGGGCAGGAGTCAGCTGGGCTTCTGTGAATGCCTTTTGATTCCTGACGAAGTGGACAGGCCTGGTCATCACGGATCCTCCCTGTTTCCTGGTTTAAATTTGGATGTGACAACTGGAGTGACAACAGACATTTGGAATCTGAGCCGACTTCTCCATTAGATATAGCAGACATGCAGTGCTTAGGGCCCATGACACTTTTAGGGGCCATGAAAATGTTTTTAATTTCTTACAAAATCATCAAAAAAAAAAAAAAACAAAACAAAACCAAAAACGAAAACCACAGCCTGGCTATATTCATCTTTATACCAATTCATTCATAAAGTATAATTTTTAATATTTTTTTTGGATAACAGAGCCCATGATGGCAAAAGTGTCTAACACCCACAAAAGTGATACCGAAGCCAAGGTGAGGGAGAGATGGAGAAAGCTGCCGGCTTACCAGGCCCGCTACCATAGAGCCGCAGAATCAGCACCAGCGCTCCCCTGCCTCCTTCTTTTACGTGAGGCATTAAACGCCTCTTTGTTAAGCTTCTATAAATCTGGCTTTCCGTCACTTGCAGCTAAATTTATGCCCCCCTGAGCCAGCTTTCTGGTCATGCGAAAGTTCTTTTGTTTCTTCCGAAGATGCTGAATGTAAGGAGGTCTAAGCAGTTTCTTGAGACTGCTGTCACCTCAGTCACCCAGATGTCAACTCCCGGGGCTCAGAACCATCCCTCCCCAGCACTGCACTGATTAGGTCCCTACCTCGAGCAGAGAATTCTGCAGCTTCACTTGCAAGGCCGCTTTCTCCTCTTCTAGCTGCTTTATTTCGTTTTCTGATTTCTTCTTCACTTCCTCCAACTGTGCTTCTACTTCCTAAATGATGATTAGGAGAATTAGCCACACGAGGCACAAAAACATGGATGGGACACACCCTGCCTTATTTCCAAAGGGGTTGGAAGATGGTTATGTGAGTCATAAAGTACTATCAGGGAAGATAGGTCAGAAAGACATGAGGTCCAAGAAACAAGTGTGAAAGCCATCCCACAAAGTCTGATACATATTGGGGGAGGGTTGGGGTACACCCCTGGCTTTAAGTTTTGTCGTGTCAAGAAAAGAGAAGGCTTGTACTGATAGCATTCGCAGTGTCCCACAAGTTAAACAGCCAGCTGCATTCTTGGGGCAGGGAAATATTAAAAGCAGAATGAAGTGTGTGTGTACGTGCGTGTGTGTATCATAAAAAGTAATACAATAATATTTGATGGCAGTGATAAATTAAAGTGCTTCTATGGTATAGCTGGATCTTTTTTATTTGTTTTGACAATCTCTGACTTTCGGGGTCACTTAGACTATATTTGACGTAATTATCACCATCTACCATCTTGCTGTTTGATCTATGTGCCATTTCTGTTCTCTTTTTACCTCTTCTTCTGTGTATGTTTGATGCATTTAATACTTTTTTATATTCCCTTTTTTATCTCCACTAATGACTTATTAGCTGTCCTTTTTTGAGCGGGGTGTGCTAGTGGTTGCTCTAAGATGCGTCTTCAATTGATCACTCCCATCAAATACTATCATATTACTTTATTCAGGATACGCAATACAGCCACACCAGAGGGCTCAAAGAAATAGTGACTCTTAACTCTTGAGGGGAAAATGCTGTCTTTTTTTTAGTCCACAAACCCTAGATTTGGGCCTCTTCAAGGCTTTACCTCCTCCTACTCTGCATGGCCTAATTTATATCCTCAGTTTATAGGAATGATCAAAAAGTAAAACAAAACAAAAAACAAAACAGGAAGAAACACAATTTATTTCCCAAATGGACTCATGCCCCCTCATTAAAGTTGAAGTGGGAGTTCTACACTCAGAGTCAGGCTTGGC